CCTGGACACGATACTAAAGAATGCAGGAAGCTTGCTCGGTTTCTTAGAGAAAACAACATCAGTATTAACACCTCTATCAATCCCACAGTCAACTCTACAGCAGCTTCCTCCACAACCACAGCAGCTCCATGGATGTTTAATATCGGGGCATCTCATCATGTGACATCCACTCCAGCCTCATTCCACACCCTGTCAGAGTATGGCGGACCAGACGAAATCGTGTTAGGAAACGGTAAAGGACTATCCATCTCTCATACCGGTCATTCTTCCCTTCCTACTTCTTCCCGTCCGTTAAATTTACATAATGTGTTATTTGTTCCTGAGTTGCGTAATAACCTTATTTCAGTGGCTAAACTTTGCAAAACTAACAAAGTTTCTGTGGAATTTTTTCCCTATTTTTTTCTTGTTAAGGACCTACGCACGGGCACAATTCTCATGCGGGGCACGAACATCAATGATGTCTAGTATGCAACCATTTGCTCCCTTAGTCAACTTCCAAGAGTCAACTCCACAGTCTCCTCAAATAAATTGGTCACCTCCTGGCACCATAAGCTTGGTCACCCATCGGTCAAGATTTTCAAGTGTCTTCTAGCTCGTTTAGGACTCTCTTGTAATAAACATTCAGATGTTTCTTTTCATTGTGATTCATGCTCTATAAATAAAAGCCACAAATTACCCTTTGGGCCAAATTCTTTTACTGCTACCAAACCTTTGCAACTAGTATATTCTGATGTTTGGGGACCGGTACAAACTTCCAATGATGGTTTTTCCTATTATGTCACCTTTGTCGATTTTTATTCAAGATACATTTGGCTTTATCCAATGAAACGAAAATCTGAAGTCTCCACCCTGTTTCCTCAATTTGGCAGTCTAGTTGAAAAATTCTACAATACCCCACTCATCTCCCTCTTCACTGATAATGGAGGAGAGTTTCTCAAACTTGCCTCATACCTCAAACAAAATGACATTTCTCACTTCACTACACCACCTCATACCCCTGAACAGAATGGGATTGCTGAGAGACGACACAGACATATAGTTGAAACCGGGCTTTCACTTCTTCATCATGCCAACTTGCCTCTCTCCTTTTGGACTCATGCTTTTCAAACAGCAGTCCATCTTATAAACCGAATGCCCACCCAAGTTCTCAATTTCCAATCTCCTTATGACAAACTACACAATACTCCACCCATATACAAGAAGCTAAAACCGTTCGGATGTCTCTGTTATCCGTGGTTGCGACCTTACTCCCTAACCAAGCTTCATCCCCGGTCTGCAAAGTGTATTTTCCTTGGCTACTCGATCTCGAAATCAGCCTACAAATGTTATGAACCCACTACTCACAAACTTTACCACTCCCGCCATGTCGAATTTATTGAGCACATTTTCCCATATCATAATGAACCCGAAACTCCTCTGCCCAAACCGAATGAGTTTTGCATCTATCTGAACCCAACAAATGATAACACCACCAGCTCATCCATCCCTCCCTGCTGCCCTACGCCATCTCCTACACAACAAATACCCATCCACATTCCATCTATACCCTCCACACCAGCTACATCATCACCTAGTACACCAACAACCCAAAACAACCAATCTGATCCAGCCTCACCTCAAACAGCACCACAACAGCCACCCTTATCCTCACCTGCTCAGTCATCCCCTTACCCGGTTCAATCCCCTAACCCTTCTCCTCCTCCATCACCACCACCACCTCACCGACCTCGCAAACCTAACCCAAAGTATTACAACAACAATCTCGTAAACACTACTACCATTCATCCTATACCACCTACCCTTGAACCTTCCACCCACAATCAAGCACTAAAAGATCCCAAATGGAGGAGTGCCATGGATTCTGAATTCAATGCACTTTTACAAAACCAAACTTGGGAGCTGGTTCCGTTAGCCTCTCACAAACCTATTGGCTGCAAATGGGTCTTCCGAATAAAACACAACTCAGATGGCTCTATATCAAAATACAAAGCCCGTCTCGTAGCAAAGGGATTTCTTCAACAATATGGGAAAGATTATTTTGACACGTTTAGCCCGGTCACCAAACCCGTCACTATCCGAACAATCCTCTCCATAGCCTTATCAAACAACTGGCCACTACGCCAACTAGACGTCAACAATGCCTTCCTACATGGCACATTGCATGAAGAAGTATTTATGTCTCAACCACCTGGATACATTCACCCTCAATACCCGGATCACATCTGCAAATTAAAAAAAATCCATTTACGGTCTCAAGCAAGCTCCACGAGCTTGGTATATTGAACTTGCCAACTTTCTCCTCACCTTTGGTTTTCGAAAATCTCAAGCTGATGCATCTCTTTTCATCTATTCCCATCAAACCATCATATGCTACTTCATGGTTTATGTCGATGATATTGTCTTAACCGGCAATGACAACAAATTCCTTACTCATTTTGTCACCTCCTTAAGCACAAAATTCTCTCTCAAAGATCTTGGTATGCTTCATCATTTCTTAGGAGTTGAAGTCATTCCAACTCCCACCGGTCTGTTTTTGTCCCAACATAGGCATATCCAAGACATTCTAAATCAATTCCATATGGAAGGTGCCAAAGATGTTACCACCCCCCTAAGTGCCACATAACCATTGTCTCTCATTGATCAATCACCCACTGTTGATGCCACACCTTATCGAAAATTAGTTGGTTCTCTCCAATACTTAGCTTTCACTCGTCCCGACATTTCATTTGCCATAAACAAACTGTCTCAATTCATGCACGCTCCTCGTCAAACTCATTGGCAGGCCCTTAAACGCCTCATTTGGTACCTTAAAGGTACCATTCACCATGGTTTAGTCCTTAACCGTAATTCCTCACTCACGCTCTCGGCTTTCTCCGACTCTGATTGGGGTGGAGTTCATAGTGCAGGTCGATCTACAACAGCATACCTGCTGTATTTGGGTACGAATATAGTGTCATGGCGATCCACAAGACAAAAGACTGTTTCTCGCTCTTCCACCGAGTCCGAATACAAGGCCTTGGCAAATGCTTCAGCAGAACTAATTTGGCTCAAAAACCTCCTTAATGAGCTAGGTGTGCCTACAACTACAGCCCCAACACTCTTCTGTGACAATACAGGTGCCACGTATCTTTGTGCGAATCCTATTTATCACTCGAGAATGAAGCATGTGGCCCTAGATTACCACTTTGTTCGAGAACAGATTGCATCAGGTCTTCTCAAAGTACTTCATGTTCATTCACAAGACCAGCTAGCGGACATGCTGACCAAACCACTTCCACGAGCACCGTTTCTGAAAAACAGATCCAAGATTGGTGTCTCCGATGGAGCCTCCATCTTGCGGGGGCGTATTAAGGATATGAAGCCCAACATACAAGACATCAGCCCACATGAAACACAATAGCCCACAGCTTTATATCACGTTTACAATTCATTACTCTGTATAGTCAATTGTATAGTCAATAGATCCTATAATGTCTCCTATATGTACTCCTGTATACTCGCTCATATTCAGCTTGTAATCTGCCTATATATGGCGTGTGAATTATGGAATGTAATCAAGTCTTTCAATCATATAATCATTCTTCTATATAAACAATGAGAATGAAGCAGGAAAAGAAAGAAGTTAAAATAATATGTTGTTTTCACGATTCCATACATGATTGAATATAGTTTCTTCATAATATAACAACAAAAATAATGCAGGGGAAAGGAAAGTGGAACTTGGTATGGATGATTGATGATGGACGCCAACAGGAACTGTGAATAGAGGTTGAAGGAAGTCAAACCACTGAAAAGTTTAATTTTGGATATAAATAATGAAAGTAAGCTTATTAATTTTGGGGCCTGATTCTTCCACGGAAGATTTTTATTCAACCACTGAAAAGTTTAATTTTAGGGAGCTAATTTTTCCAATTTATATTTTAATCATGCCACTGAATAATTAATGTATGGACCAATATACCCCTAAACTCATTTATGATATTGAAGAGGGAGAAAGATTAAAACCATATACCTTTTTATGGGAAAAATCTCACAATTAATTATGCTTAAGATTTGAATAAGTTTAAATGAATAAATGTGGAGAGTTGATCAACACGTTTTGAATCAAAATCAGTTCAAGTTTAAATTTTGAATCCGAATCAAAGTCAATTCAAGTTTATATTCAAGGTTAACATATAAAAATCAATTCAAGTTTACATTAACAATCAAATAAACAGTTAACATAATGAAATCAAATTCATTGTTTACAGTTAATTTACATTTAAGGTTAAAAGTTAACAGAATCAAAATCAATTCAAGTTTACATTCAAGGTTAATGGTTAAAAGAATCAAAATCAATTCAAGTTTACATTCAAGGTTAATGGTTAAAAGAATCAAAATCAATTCAAGTTTACATTCAAGGTTAAAAGCATCAGAATTAATTCAAGTTTACACTAAAAAATTAGAGTTAAGTGTTTGAAAGTGGGGTGAAGCAATGTCGTCTGAGGAAGATTTCTTATTGTCCTGCATTAGGGGTTCAAAGCGTGGTCCTGTGTTTTTGGAAAAAAAATGGGTTATGTTATGATATATTCAATTTATATATGAAGAGGGGTATAATTGGCCAACCTTTAATTATGTAGTGGCAGCATCAAAATATTTAGTGTAAACAAACAGATCTGATCAATTACACCATGCACACTCTCATGAAGTTGTATGTAAATTAAAACTGTGTGTAAATGAAACTATTAATGAAGATTCAGAATTAAAATTGAAATGTCGGAATTAGAAGAGTGAGGATGTCTGATTTTGTACTATGAAATATTTTTATTGTGTATTATGGAGATATACATGTGACACTCCTTTTAATGATCATGAATAAGTAAATTAGAGAATAAGAAAATCTTATGTAGTAAAAGGGATAGCAAATTGGTTTGCATTATATAACATTTAAACTTTAGATGTGGAAAATCTATCCACCATTCCATCAGTTTTCTTTAAATTTATATTCAAAGAAATATGTTGTCTAAATAAAATATTGAAATAATAATACATATAAAATCCTAATAAAATTTTGCCAAACAAAATGTTGATATCATATAAATAATTCAACATAAATCTGAAATTACCTTACACAAGACGAATACTATCGTGTTAAAAACAAACGAAAACAAACATAAACTTCAAAATTGTATGATCACATACTGATGAGAAATTCTATCGAAATTGCATCCGTTTAATGCAACAGATCCTTCACCATATTCTTCATCATTATCATGATCATGTTTAAGCATATTAGTAACAGGTCTAGAGTCAAACTCAAAGCCAATAGCTCTTAGATGTTTATCAATTGAGTATTTGCGAATTGTTTTTGTTATGTTCAACCTGTTTTGCAAATGACAGAAACAAAATAGGGAAAGAGAATTTTAATTTGATGACAAAAATGTAAATTAATAATTAAAAAGTAAGATCTTGAAACTTACCGTTATAGTACATCACTCAAATAATTATGTAAATCCTGCAATGAAAGCAAAAAAGAAGTCAATAACAGCTGATAATAATGGCCTATGAAGAATAAAAAACAAAAGCATAAAGGTTAATTGCCCTTTGTCGTCGGCCTCACCAAGTTTTTCCACAAAGAAAACTCGATTGCAAATACGAAATCCTCCAGAAGCCGAATGTTGGTATTTTAGAACTTTAGTGTTTATTGCAAATTAAATTTATAACAACTTTAGTGTTTATTGCAAATTGAATTGTGTTAGAATAAGGATCAAAATTGCTATTCCAAAATATACCATTTTGTTAAAAACTTTATATCTGAACACATACACTCACAATTGTAAATATACACTTTTCCACAGGTGCACCATATTATCAAACATCCTTGTGGTATATTATTCTTTTTTTAGTTTTGTCCAAGGGCAAAATGCTCATTTAAATTTTTTGACAGCTATGGTTCCTTTAAAAAAATCAGGTAATGTGCTTAAATTGCAGTTTACTCTTAACTTTAATTGCCTTTTTACCTTGAAATTCTTCTCAAATGCAGCTAGCTGATGTGATCTAGATTTATGATTTTCTTCAAGAACTTTCATGAGTTTGGTAGCTTGCTGACTCAGATTGCTGAAGAAACCACTTACTGCCCTTGATATTTCGTGTTAATTCTCTAAACTTTTATGTAGTCCCTACACAATTAAAAAACAAAATATCAGATATAAACTATGAAAAGGGTAATAAGAGAATTATAAAATTTAAGAGTAAAAATATGAACACCCTTGTTGTGTTTGTACCTCTTCATGTTGTTGAACAGATAAAGACAGCATCTGCTTCTTCTGATGGGCTATAAAAAATAAAACGGATAGTGAAGTCATCATGCTCAGAACGAATGGCTCCAATGTGATTTATGATCAAATAATGTCGCTGATAAGTGAATCATGTTAAGGAAATTGCAAGAAAGATGACTTAAAACATTATATTTTTTCATATGAATCAGTGTAAATATACCTGTAGAATCAAATAAAATTATAAAATAAATGACATGGAGGATATTCTTGAACTTCACGAGGTATTTTTCTTTCTCTAAGCCAGCAACCAAAGTATTCTTCGCTCCTTCCTTGTGTTTCTGCATGATGTGGCATTGGATACCTGGAAATTTCTCAGAAATTATTCAACACAAATTACAAAGTAATAATCAATTAATGAGAAAGCAAATTGGATTACATTTCTGCAGAATCAAAGAAGTTGATTCCGGAGTCGAATGCTTTGTCGAGGAGTTTGAAGGACTGTGACAATGAATTTTGCTCATCGTCCCTTTCAAAGAAAAAACAAAACAAAAAAATTGAGTCCATTGTTACTCTATAAAAGGGGGGAAAGGTTTAGGACAACCTAAACAGAGCTTTGAAACAAGGAGACTGGGAGTGAGATTTGAAAGAGGGACACCCATTTCAGCCCAACTGCAACCAATCTGCACCACCACCACCTATAAATTACTTAACATAACCCGTGAGCACCACCAACACTCCTTTTTCAAAGTTTCTAGAGGATTTGATGTTGTAGTCCCTTCTTACTGGTGCTGGAAACCAATGGAGTTTTTAGGAAATCATTAACCTTTCCAGCCAATTGCTACCTTGCCCTATTCATTTGACAATCTACCAGTTTCAGACCTTGAAGGATTCATAAATTTCTTCAATCCCTTCCACCTGATAATGTATAAGAACAAACAACCGTTTCTAAATCAATACAGAAAAATTTTATATAGTTGCAGAAATAATCAATAGTAAAATCATTACTGAATCACACATAATGGCGTTATCAATGATAGTTCACAAGGCATTATAGTTTTAATTTAACATTTATACAATAAAAACAACTCTTCACCAAGAGCGGGAATCTGAGGTTGACTTTTTCAATACTAATACGATAGGAAGATAAATAATCGAATTGTATTAAAATCAATTAACCGATAGTCTCAAGAGATTTGAGAGTATCATTTAACTATTGTCTCTTTTGTTAAAGGTTTGGAAATCCATGAGTATTGAATAGTGATCTGAAATAAAAATAAAAATGAAAATAGGGATTACTTGTTTAAACACCGTCGAGATAGAGAGATCAAAGAGGGTTGATGGCCTGATTGCTTGCCTTGTTGGTGTTCTTCACTTCTTCGCACAACATAAGTCACGTGAGAGATTGAAGGCGGATGAGTTTGTGGGGAATGACGATGGAGAAGAGCCCAGTTGGTAGTGAGGCAGAGATAAGGTACACTTAGAAAGAGCAGCAGCAGAACCCAAGAACCCTATTATCGTTGTCATAACAATTCTCCAATTAAACTCCAATTTCTGAATGAAAACATCAAAGATGAAAAACCCATTCGGTTATAAAATCAAAATCGTCAACGATCATAATTACAGGAGTTACAGGCAAGATTCTGTTGTCCGTGGAAGAACACATAGTAGTGGGGAAGAAGAATAATCTTGTATCAATTTGATGTATGAAATCGATGGGGTGACCCTTTCTGATGTTGATTGAAGGAAGCGATTGGGTTTAGAGCAAAAGGGAGGAAGAAAAGTAAGAAGATCATGGCGATTCTGGCATGATTGAAGTAAAAAGGAATAATTAGGTTACAATTGAGAGAGAGAAAGAGGGTAGATGACGAAAGAAAGAAAAATAAGCGTGTAATTGAACTTCTCGCGATGAAAAGGATGATGTCAGCAAACAATCCAAGGGTGAGAAATTAAGGATTGAAATGTAATGAAGGGTCCTGATTTTTTAAGATTAGAATTTAAGGTTCTCTTTTAATAATATTTAGAGATGTTATGTGTTATTTGCTATCAAAAATTATAGACTAACTGCAAACATGTATAAAATTAGAATATTCTAAAAGAATAAAATATGTTGTATGTACATATAGAATATTTTTACAAAATAATGTTATAGTTTGATCGGTAACTTGTATAGAACTATAATATCACAATTAGAATATTCTAATTTGTAAAAGCTGATTTGTTTTAAGTTAGTTACTATGAATGTTATGTTAGGGTAATATTATATGTTTTATGTTATAATACATAGATGTATAATATTCTAGTATTCTAATATTATATGTTGTTTGTTCTTATAAGTGTATAACTAGAATATTCTAATAGAATAATGTTCTATGTTTTCAATTAAATAAGTTGATATATTAAGTGAAAATAATGTGTATATGTAAAATATTCTAGTAGAATAATGTTATATGTTATCTATTTTCAAAACTTATATTTAGAATATTCTAACAAAATAATGTTGTAGGATATTATAAGTTACATGTAGAGTATTCTGATAGAATAATACCTAATTAAATTTTGGGTTTTCTAATACTTATTGATATGTTATTATTCTAGTTATTCTAAATGTTCCATATTTAATATTAGTTTGTTAAGATGTAATATTTCGAAACTGTGTGCAATATTCTGATATTGAAGTTTATTATTATAATATTTTGTAATGTGTTATATGTAATTATGCTATGTAAGGATTCTAATATTATAAATTTATACTTTGATAACTTGATATTATACACATATGATTTGACGAGTCATTTGTTGCTTTTTTATATTAGATGTTATTCTGTTAGAAACTACTTGCTTTAATCCTTTCACTAAAGTAATGTGTAATATTGTGATAGCACTTGACATACTGTAAGGTAACATGAAATATTATGAAAATATGTGTCATATTATCATTTTAGACATTCTGGTTTTATTGGAAACAACTTGCTTCTAACGTTTTTGTTATATAATATGTAATATATGATTTTAGATAGTCTGTTTTTTGTTGAAAACAACTTGGTTTGAATATCTTTTGTGAAGTATTGTGATAGTACTTGATTAACAGTTAAGTAATGTGAAATATTTTGAAATTATTTTTCATATTCTTAAAGTATGTGTCATATTTTTAAATTATGTTCATATTCTGATATTAGAATACATAATATTCTAAAATTAAAAATTAAAGCTACAAGGATATTGTTAGTTTAATGATTAATGTGTTGTTTATTATGGTATAATTTTCATATTATAGTTGAATTCTAAATATCTTACATTAATTTTGTTTATTCAAATGAATCGAATAAAATAACAGTATCAAAAGCCAACATAGTGGATGAAACTAAAACAAAGAATCCCAATGATTAGATAAACACTGATAATTTGAAAACCATAAAACTCGATCATTGGGTTGTCATGTTAGATAATGGGATGAATATGAATAATCTCAAAAGGGTCTTACAAAGTTATAGTCACATAACAATGCACCAAAACCATAAAAAATATTACATGTTTGTGACATATAAAATCTATTACATATTTATTAATCTTGACACTTGTAGTTGAAAACTTATAGCTTGAAATATTCAAGTTCCTTTCAAGTTGAGCTTCATCAGTTACAACTATCTGCAACCATAAATGAAATAATTGTTAGAATCAAGTATGGATACAATCAAAGATCTGAAGATGAAGTCTATGAGTGATTATACATCATAATAATGTATTATGTAATGTAATTGATCATACAAGACACAATGTAAACACTGACAAAAAATACTCTGAATTTAATAATCTTTCTTAGTACATCCCCTTACTGCACATTAATAAGAATAATAAACATTGCTAAAAGAGACATCCAACCTTTTATGTTTGATGGAAAAAAATTTAAAAAACTATAATAATTATCATATTCTAAAAACATCTAATGTATATCATGCACCTGAATTTACATATGGTAAATTTAAGAGCATATAGTCTTTTCTTTAGCACAATCCTTTTCTGCAACTTAACAAGAGCATATTCAAACCAAACTATGCTAAAAAGACATCTCCAATATTTTTACGTTTGACAAAAAAAAAACATGTTTTAACCAAAACTATGGTAAATATAATAAAAGTAGTTAACATTACATTGTTTTATACCAATTGTGACTCAAATTTTAAGAAGTATACTCCAATTCTTAAAGAAGACATTAGTCGTGGGAAAGAGGAATGATACATCAAACTCTTTGTTCATTCAGGATTTTCATCAAACACATAGAATGCATGTATAGTTTAAGAGAATTTGCTAGAGAACAGTAACTGTTTTGTAGATACATTATTAGATTGAAAATTTAAGATCTAGGAGTAAAAATCTAAGCTTGAAGGGGCTGAAAATCGATCTCGATCTAATGACGATGATGATGAATAGTTGAAAGCGCTTACCAGGAAGCAAAATCGAAGCTTGAAAATGCTGAAAGCGATATGAATCTTATGATCAGCTGCTAACATCGTGTCACACCCCGAAACCGTGATGGCGGAAACGTTCCGGGGTGGAGGACGTCATGCGTAGTATCACAACATTTGTATAGCAAACATAGTAAACACAACCAAACACTGAATACAAATATGAAAAGTGTTTACATCAGTTTGAAACTTGTTTTAAATACATCAAAAGTATGTAAAATATAGAAAACATGACTCTTATTGCTCCGACTCCTCTAATCCAAGAAGTACCTGTCTACTGATTCCCTGAGAATACAAACAGTTTTGAAAGAATATCAGCATAAAGCTGGTGAGTTCATAAGCATTTAGTTTTGGTGGAAAAATGTTCTTGAATCCTTTTGAAAAGTGTTCCTCAAGAAAATCCTATATTTTCTTATGAAAAGCGTGTTTGAAAACCCGTTCCTTCCATGACTTCCAGATTCATACAAGGTATGTACAATCCAAGGTGTCGTGGAAGGGATATGAATATCCATTGATTACATGTTTAAACAATCAGTTTTGAATAGTCGGGTTATCCCGGGAAAATCCTATATTTTCCCTAAAGGTTGATGATTGATTATCCGTTCTAAACTGAGGTGTGCAAGTATCTACCATACTCGAAAAACAGTTTTCTTTTAAAAACCCTGGTTACACCCAGAGAGGTATATTAGTCTTAAAAACTAAATAAAAGAAAACCGTGATGAACTAGGTCCTGAAGATATTATTAATAATACCCTCCAGTAATCTATCGGTAATTACTTTGAGGTTAGTTCACTTGATTCATTATTACAAAAGTAAATCTCTGCTATCTAGGTTGTGAGTTTCATAACCATAACTGACTGGATATGGCCCGCAACGACCGATATCCTTAATGACTTTGTCACCCGCAGACCTGCCGGTCCAACTGTAGCTAGCAGTGAGGTGCGGGATTGTCAGTCACGTATAGATCTATACACAATAGTCACGCTCTCCCTACAAGAGACTCTGGTTACAAGGGTTAGTCCTACACTCACGAATCCGGTGGAGTGTTACCAAGGACGTGTCTCAAACTTAGCCTAACAAATTTAAAAGTAATAAAACTGAAAATCATGTTTATGATTTGCATGAATCCTTTATAAAATAATACATATTACTACATGATTCACAAGTTCATTGTTCTAGTTTTGAAAACTGTTTCTATGAGTTGATTTCTTAATCGTTTGGTAAAACTGTTTTCCGTGTTAAAAACATGCTGAAAGTATAATTATCTTAAACAAAATAATATATTTTGAATACAAGTTTCCTTGTACTTTTGCTTGTATTCCCCCCTGAAAACATGAAAAACTCTGAAAAAGCGTAGGGGTATGAACTCACTGTTTGACGTAGGATTCGAGCGTATGATCGGTGTGGATGCTGAGTGTCAACTGGTGTTTCGTGCGCAAGTGGATCCTATTAACATACGGTAACACATATGTGTGTTAGAATTTGGGTGTTTCATGACTAAACATGACGGGAAACCACCCTATAGACTTGGAAATGCTTGACGGGACCCTATATGATCAAACGAGGGAGGTGTACGGCCAAAAGAGTGTGTGTGCGGCCAGGGTGTGCGGTCAACATGTGTGTGCGGTTGCACACAGGAGTGTGCGGCCGTACAGAGGGCGTGTGCGGTCGTACAAGGGAGTGTGCGGCCGTACATAGGGGTGTGCGGCCGTACACTCTTCATTCATGCTCAAAATGTTGATTTTCAGGTGTTTCAAGGCCAATACCAAGTCCAACTAGCAAATGGAGGCCATACTCTCACTTTGGAGAGTCTTTAAGGTGTGTGCGGCCACCTTATGAAGGTGTGCGGCCGTACACCTTCATATGATGAAGAACATGATGAAACTTTGATGATTAAGGGCTTAGATCAATGGGTCCTTCATGTATGATAAGCTAGGTGATAAAAAAAACTCACGTTTTTGAGGCCTTGAGAGGGTTTGCGGTTGAAGAATCTTGAGAGAAGGGTGTTGTGTGCTGCCAAAGTGTTAAAGGAATGAAAGGAAAGGGTCTACCCTCTATATAGGGTGGGTGTGCTGCCCAAGAGTGAGTGTGCTGCCAAGGGAGTGGGTGTGCGGCCGCACACCCATGTATACGGCCGTACACTCCTCCAAGAGGGTGTATGGCCCGTTTTTCTCACTATGGGGCGTGCTGACTCATTCCTAAACTCAACCTTGGTCAAATTTAAGCTTAGAACACTTAAATGAACCCTTGAATAGCACCAGAAATCAAGAAAACAAGTTAAATATTGATTGAATTGACTAAAAGTATAGGATTGAAGTTTCCGGGTTGTCACATCATCCCCCCGTTAGAGGGAATTTCGTCCTGAAATTCAAGAATAAAGTACAATCATGAACTTGGAAAGAGATGGGGGTACTTCTGCTTCATTGAATCCTCGCGCTCCCAAGTGAATT